ACGATTTCTTCAGCTTAGCGATTGTCCTAGTTCAGGGATTGTAAGACGACCATTCAATATGCAAAACAAGCATTGAATACTCAAATGATTATTCCTATCGGTCAACAGAATGACATTTTTGAAGAAGTCTCTCTCATATTGCATTCTATAGTATCACCTGGATTGCCGAAGAAGGCTTCGAAAGAATTCATTCTTACGCTTAACAGATATGACATGAGAAAAAGCATATATGTATCGGTATTTTTTTTTTGCACTTCACTGTATATGAACCAGTTGAATATGGATAACTGTTTAAAAACAAAAACAAGAAGAAAAACATATTGATTAGGTCAAACAAAAAACAATAAAAAATGTAAAATAACTGAAAATTTTGCCATATTGGATTATAATATATTGGATGATTATTTGATAAATAATAATCCGATGATATTGACAAGGGTATAGAAGCAATAAATGATGCATTAAATAATTGATTTGATATTGAAGTTGTTGAAGAAGTACGTGATAAATGTTCATCCTTTAGTAATTAATTAAAATAAATTTTCTTTTTATTTATAAATAAAAATATTTTCATTTGATTTAATTTCTCTTCAATTATATTATTAAGAGAAAAAGTTTAAAACATTTTCGACTACTAACATTTATTTCAACTAAAAAATAAAAATAATTTTTTCAAGATAAACTTGATTAGTCGCAACATATAATTGTTAAACATTTTCAAAGAATAATATTATTAAATATAATATGAATCGATGAAAATCTTTTTTTGTTTTATTTNAAAATAATTTTCTTAAATTTTATACAAGCTATGAATCTACTAATAATAGTAGTAGATACTCATTTTCAACTCTAATAGAGTTTGTATCAGAACAAGATTCCATTAGGGTCTAATACATGTCAAACTTTTAGGAAACATTTGCTCGTGTAACTAGACTTTAATGTCTGTATCACAGCGTAAGGATGCATAATTATCTCCGAAGGGTCACTTGTACTACCTATACACACGATACAACCTTTACTATCTAAATAGTGTTACATAGAGAATTTTGTGCTGTATGTCTCTATGATCTTTTCAAGACTCATAATGTTGAAATGCACTAGAAAAAAATTTCGAACTGATAACTGTCAGTATTTTTGAGTATACTCTAGAACGTCATGTTTTCAAAAAACAGACTTTAAAGTTCTTCTAGAATGTTTATTAGTTCCTGTATATAATGAAAGACTACATATGAATATTTAGCTTGCTCGTATTGGCATGTTGAAAAATCCTCAATCACGTTGGTTTGATCGATCGAATATTTATATTGTCACACGAAATGGTTTTGTTGTAGCAAATGATGAAGTAGCTCTCTAATATCCTATATAAAGATTCATTTTGAAATAACTTTTAAATTTAGCACTCAGCTTATGAAGGTATTATTCCAACACAAATCGGTGATCATATACAACATCATATTGATTCTCTTGAAAAGATAAATTCCTGGCCAATACTATCTGATCCTTATAATAAAATAATTGTTCGAGAACTTCTATTTATTTATGACTCACGTGTATTAAATACGATCAAACATGCAATTACTTTATTTCATCAATCAGCAGATAATATTGAAATAATAGTCATTAATGTAAATCAATGTACAAAAGAAGATATTAAGCAATATATTCGTATTCATCCAGATACTTTTTTTCAATTATGTCTTCAACTAGCTTATTTTAAATTACATGGACATAAACCTGCATCAACTTATGAAACAGCATCAACACGACGTTTTTATCGTGGAAGAACTGAAACATTACGAAGTTGTACACCAGAAGTGGTTGCATGGTGTCGTGCAATGACAAATTCAAATAATCAATTAACAGTAAAATTTATATTTTTCCTTAATGTTTATTATTTAGTTGACGTATTAATATAGGAAATTGAAAAAAGAAAATTATTTCTTATTGCTGCTAATCGTCATCAACAATTAATGGCTGAAGCATCAGAAAATCAAGGTTGTGATCGACATTTATTTGGATTGAGTATGATAGCATATATAACAGGAAAACCATTCGAACTTATAAATGATCCATCATGGATAAAAAGGTTTGAGAAAAAAAAAGATTTATAACTTTTTAAATCATTTTACTTTTTTAGTGGTGGTGGTGGTAATTTTATTTTATCTACAAGTTGTATTGGTTTCACTATAACAGTAGGTGGAACATCACCAATGTGTTTAAATGGTTATGGAGTTTTTTATCGATTTGGTAGTGATGCGTAAGTCAAAACAAATATGATCATAATGATTTATTTATTTATTTATTTATCATAGAATAACATTTGTTGTCACGGCTTATCGAAATTGTTTGGATACGAATGTACAAGCAATGGCAGATTCGATTGAACGTACTTTAATTGAAATTAAAACATCATTTATGAAATCAAATTTGTAAATGTAAATTCTTTTTCAATCGGATGATGACATTAATCGACATTATATTTTTAAAACTTTTATATAGAAATGTTTGAAGTTCAAAGACTTATAACGAATTTTCTATAGAAGTGCAATACTTACATGTTTGAGTTTTGTTTTTCTTTTAGATCATTTACTTCCATGGAGTTTATATAAATATATCTAGCGGCGTAAGTAGGGCCCATCAGTCGGTCGCGAACCCAAACCGGCTCTAGTAGTCTAGGAAATGTGTACGGTGTGCTCGTCATGAATAGGATACTAAAGAACTGGCTTTTATTTCACCTGGTTTAACTCCCCATTTGAGTGAGTAGTTGTACCGAAGACTTTTCCAAGTCTGGACCGGTGGTTCTTCGATAGGGTGTGTAGTGAACTCTTTCAAAAGTTCATTTTACTACAGTCCTATGGGACAAACTTTTTTTCATGTACTTTAAAATCTCGTTTGTTCCGTTAACTGAAAGGCATCTGACTGGGCAAAGTGAAGTAGCCGGCTTATTGCTTTTTCGCTCCTTTAGTTGCTATGACAAATTCTTCTTTGAAGTGACTGATCATCTTCTTCTCGATGCATTAGTTACGACTGGAATCAATCACTCGTTCTCCATACGTAACCATTAGTTCGAAATAAAAACAAGTTTGTCGAGATCGTGAGAATGTGACAAGTGTACACCTAAAACAATAATTAACTGCTGAGAACCTCCCGATATAGTCATACATGACTCACTCTGAAAAAGACCATTGATATTTCAGATGCTACATGAAATAGTTTCATTATATGACAATAGTTTATTTAGATTGATTATCTCTGAGGTGTGATTGAAGAATCCAGAATATTTGATTATTCGCTGTTTATTTCATGCGATGGTCACAATTTCGAAATCTTCGGTTAGCAGTAAACCATTTCTCATCTGGCTATGAATCTATATCACAAGAATTTTGAATTAAAAATCAAATCAGTTCATCATATTGATTATAAACAATTGATCAAAACATCTATCAAGAAGACATTGACCTTCGTTGGAATGTCTTCACATCGATAGACAAATTCACAATAGTAAATTGAAAACAACATGTTCTAGATAAATCATCGAGTTTCAGCATTAAGCACAGTTATTTGGTGCTTTGATCGATTGTGTTCACTATCCAGTGAAAAATTGTTTGACTAGTCACCACGATTTTTAATATATTCAAATTGATAAGACAATGCATTATCGAATTACCGATGAGGCCTACATGACAGTAAATGAATGCATCAGAAGGCATTGACATTGGTGAATTTCTATTTAACTCATCATCTACTCAACAAGTCAACATGTCTTAGTAAGCATACTATTGTAAATCTGTTAAGAATTTACGGGCAAGATTTGTTTGAAGCTTTGCTTTCATATATTCAAATAGACTGCAATTTCAAACATCTATAGTAATTTTTCGATGTAAGATTGTTACGAAAAAGTATTTCTTATCACATTAACGAGTCCAAGGACTTCTAACACTGTAGTTATGCTACTGTTTGTAAGAGAAAAGCAAATAATATCTATGCTTCTTTCTTATCATTATTAATAAAAATCTCGAAGAGTATATCATTATGTATTTGACGACCACAAGGAGAAAATTTCGGCAATGAATCTAATATTTATTATATTTATTGTCTACTTTTACACTCCATTAGCTTCTTCCATTGAACAGCATCTTGAGTTGGACGAGATTTCAATCAAACCCACGATCGGAGAACCATGGCCCAAACCTCAGTCGATAAAAACTTCAACGACACGTTTTTCTCTTCATCCAGCTACTTTTCATTTTGTGTCAAATGAAACAGGTCAACAGTGCGATATACTTCGTAATGCCTTTGATCGGTATTACAAAATCATCTTCTTTCCACAAACTTATATGGCTCATCTATTAGATTCATTATCATCTATTAGCAACAGCAATAGTTTCAACAAGGAAACTGTTGGAAATATGGTCGATCTTAGCGATGTACCAGCACTCAAACGATTGAATGTCAATGTAGAACAACCATGTGAACAGTGGCCGAGTCTTGAATCGAATGAATCATGTAAATGATGAAATTAAGACCTACCTAATGAAATACTTTGTCAAAATATTCCAGCAATTCATTAGTAGCAGCTTCATAAAAACTTGTCCAACTGCAGACACACAGAATTGAGAATAAAACTCCCAAAATTCTAGTCATTTTAAAGAACGATTAACAATGAATATTCGTTGCAGGAGATTACATTCTTACTTTTCATATCTTCATTTCCATCTTGGAATTATTAAAAACTCTTGCGAGGATCTACTCTCGACATACTGGTCCGAGCATCAGCATGTTATAACTGTTCTTTAGAAAATTTATTGTTAGAGCCTAATTTACCGTTGTATCTTCTCATTACTTACCTGTGCTAAAAGAGTGCTGAGAATGATCTATTGTGTTTATTTCAATAGCGCATTTGATTTTTTTTTTGACCTAGATACACTTGCTGTCGAAAAGGGTCATGCTACGCTCAATTCCGTCTCAATATGGGGTGCTCTTCGAGGCCTTGAAACATTTAGCCAACTCGTCTATCCGGATGAAGATCTTCTAGTAATCGATTAGAATACATTTTTCTACGAATCTAAGTTTTATTGTTTACAGTTTGCCATCAATGAAACGATCATTTATGATTTTCCTCGTTTTCAACATCGTGGCTTTTTACTCGACACTGGAACACATTTCATTTCTTTAAAACGACTCAAAATGAATCTAGTTAGTAAATTTGATGTAAAATTTTATTCACTCTAATCGTGTCTTCTATCTAATTTAGGAAGCAATGGCTCAGAGTAAAATGAATGTTTTTCATTTTCATATTGTTGACGATCAATCGTTTCCATATGAT